GCCTGTAATCCCACCACTTTGGGAGGCCGAGGTGGGTGGATCACATGAGGTCAGGAGTTTGAGACTAGCCTGACCAACATGGTGAAACCGTTTCTACTAAAAATACAAAATCAGCTGGGCATGGTAGCACATGCCTATAATCCCAGCTACTCAAGAGGCTAAGGCAGGAGAACCGCTTGAACCCGGGAGGTGGAGGCTGCAGTGAGCTAAGATCACACCACTGCACTCCAGCCTGGGCAACATGGCTCACATCTATAATCCCAGAACTTTGGGAGGCCAAGGCGGGCGGATCACGAAGTCAGGAGGCCGAGACTATCCTAGCTAACATGGTGAAACCCTGTCTCTACTAAAAATACAAAAAATCAGCTGGGCGTGGTGGCACACACCTGCAGTCCCAGCTACTTGGGAGGCTGAGGCAGGAGAATCACTTGAACCCGGGAGGCGGAGGTTGCAGTGAACTGAGATTGTGCCACTGCACTCCAGCCTGGGTAACAAAATAAGACTCTGTCTCAAAAAAAAAAAAAAAAAAAAAAAAAAAGATGACAAAATACACATTTTCAAATGAGAAAAAAAACAACTGTTACGGGAAGACAGGCACTGGACGAAATAGCAGAGGGAGATCTTCAAACTGAAAGGAAGATTACCGGACCCCAACTGAAACACAGATGCAGAGGGAGCCTGGCCCAAAATACAACTTTTATATGTAACTGGGTAACCCAAAAATGTGTGTGACTCACTTTACTGCAGTGATGTAGAACCAAACTCATAATGTCTCCAAAGTATGCCTGTAATATTTTACAGCAGCCCTAGGAAAAAAACATATACCATCCAATAAGAATTGCTGTAAACACTACAAATAATTAGAAGAAATGAGTTTTCCACAAACTGACATCAAACTGTGGGTTCACAGCATTACTTGTTCTTTACAAATAGGGCAATCATATACCCCAGTTAACAAGTAACAGTCCTGGCCTAAAAGCACCCCCTTTGATTCTCAAAAGTGACCTCCTTTGGATAATAAATTGCATGGTCATCCTTTATGAACCCACTTAGAATACCCTTCTGTCTGTTCACCTTCAAATCCTACCCTGTTCAAAGATCGAGTGACATCCGACTCCATCTTCCCCACTGACAGGATAATTCTCTCTCCAGTTCCTGTAGCTTTTTATAAATACAGCCATTATAATACTCATATCCTATTACAATGACTTGCTTACATGTCCACCCCATGCTCTTAGCCACAGTGCCAGGAACTGAGCAGGTACTCAACAGATATTTTCTAAGTTTCTCAAATGATTCATCAGAAAACTGACAAAGTACCTGCAGAGACAGTGTTCTTTCACTTGTGTCCCTTACACAATCTCCTGCATCCAGTAAAGGTGGAAGTAAAAAATTAAATAGCAAACAACTAACTTGACAATCAGTGATTTTCAGATTTTAGTGCACATCAGCATCACTTGGAAGACTAGTTAAAACACAGAGTTTTTTAAGTAGTCCCACCCCAGAGTTTCTGATTCCGCTGGGATAGGGCCTGAGAATTTGAATTTAACAAGTTTCCAGGTAATACTTCTAGTAACTAACTCTGAGAACCACTGCTATAAAGAAAACACCACAATTGTGAAAGGGTCCATTTCTTCTCCCAACTTCATTCCTAATGGGAGACTCCCTTTTCTGAATATGACAGAGTAGCTTGTGGCTGACCAACACTTCTGCAGGGAACAAGATACACTATACTAGAAGCATCTAGATTCTAGAAAAAGAGAAACTTCAGAGATGAGATGACATTCTACAAACAATTTTTTCCTAATGCATTTGCTGATTCTGCTGAGGCAGAGGAACCATGAGAAAGCTTCTGGAAGAGATAAAAATAAAGACTTTTTTTTTTTTTTAATTGAGACAGAGTCTCACTGTCACTCAGGCTGGAGTGCAGTGGAACAATCATGGCTCACTGCACTCCTTGAACACCTGGGCTCATGAAATCTTGAGCCTCAGCCTCCTGAGTAGCTGGTACCATTAGTTCATGCCACCACACTTGGCTGATTTTTCAGTTGTGTTTTTTTTTTTTTTTTTTTTTTTTTAAAGATAGATGGGGTCTTTGTTGCCCAGGCTGGTCTTGAACTCCTGGGCTCAAGTGATCCTCCCACCTTGGCCTCCCAAAGTGCTGGGATTACAGGTGTGAGCCAATGTACCCAGCCTAAGATTATGAGTTTTGTGGCTCAAGGACCCAGTGAAATAGGAGTCAAAATCTGGGCTTAACACAAGGGTGGTTGGGCTTAACACAAGGCTGGTTTTCCCCTGAAGACACAACCCAAATTCTGCACCCACATAGAGAAGGCTTCAAAACAAAACCGAAAGCCTCTGAAAATCAAGACTGAATTGTCCTCAAGAGACAAATATGACTCTCCCCTTGTTGGGGAGGGACTCCTCTAAACTCACGAGACTATCACTGAAAGCCTTAGGTGGGTACTTGCCAGGAGTAAGAGCAAATCAGAACAAAACGCAGCCTCATCCAACCTGCAACACAGCCTCAACCCTCAGCTCAGTCCCTAGCAGTATTAGGTGATCAGCCCCCACACTACCTGCCTAACAAAAGGAAGAGTGATTTCTTCCCTGAAAAAGAATAGCATCATCCAGACCCTTACTGTATTCACAGTGCCTCACATTCAGATAACTAAAAACTAACAGGAAAAGCAGATAACAGAAGCAGAGGCTCATATGATTTACGCTTGATTTTACCAGGAAGACTTATTTAATGGTAAGTATGTTTTTAAAAATAGAAAAAAAGGCCGGGCGCGGTGGCTCAAGCCTGTAATCCCAGCACTTTGGGAGGCCGAGGCGGGTGGATCACGAGGTCAAGAGATCGAGACCATCCTGGTCAACATGGTGAAACCCCGTCTCTACTACAAATACAAAAATTCAGCTGGGCATGGTGGCGTGTGCCTGTAATCCCAGCTACTCAGGAGGCTGAGGCAGGAGAATTGCCTGAACCCAGGAGGCGGAGGTTGCGGTGAGCCGAGATCGCGCCATTGCACTCCAGCCTGGGTAACGAGCGAAACTCCGTCTCAAAAAAAAAAAAAAAAAATAGAAAAAAAGAGGAAAGGCCAGGCACGGTGGCTCACATCTGTAATCCCAACACTTTGGGAGGCTAGGGTGGGCACATCACTTGAGGTCAGAGTTTGAGAAGGTGAAACCCTGTCTCTACTAAAAATAAAAAAATTAGCCAGGTGTGGTGGTGCATGTCTGTAGTCCCAGCTACTCATGAGGCTCAGGCAGGAGAACTGCTTGAACCTGGGAGGTGGAGGTTGCAGTGAGCCAAGTTCACACCACTGCACTCCCGCCTTGGCAACAAAGTGTGACTCCTTCTCAAAAAAGAAAAAAGAAAGAGAGAGAAAACATATAAAAAGATTAAGAATTTCAGCCAGGTGCGGTGGCTCACGCCTGTAATCCCAGCACTTTGGGTGGCCGAGGTGGGTGGATCACAAGGTCAGGAGTTCAAGAATAGCCTGGCCAAGGTGGTTAAACCCCGTCTTGACTAAAAATACAAAATTAGCTGGACGTGGTGGCAGGCACCTGTAATCCCAGTTACTTGGGAGGCTAAGGCAGAGAATTGCTTGAACCTGGGAGGCAGAAGTTGCAATGAGCTGAGATGGCACCACTGCACTCCAGGCTGGGTGATAGAGACTCTGTCTCAAAATAAATAAATATATAAATAAGAATTTCAACTGCAAATTGGAATTTATAAGTGTCAAACTGAAATTCTAGATCTGAAAAGTATTACTAAAAGAATTCAATGGGTGTATTTAACAGCAGAACAAACAGAAGAAGAGTCTTTTTAGATTAGATTCTTCTCCAAATACGCGTAAAATATTCGCTGAAGAATGAAACTGAAATCTTTGCGTTTCACTGAACTAAATGGAAGAATCGCTATCATAATCACTATTGCCTATGTTTGGGACTGGAACTGGTTGGGGCTGGAACTGGTTGGACCTGCAGTCCAACTGGCTAACCAGTTTTTCTGTCAGAATCTAAAAAACCTCAAAACAATTTCAATTTATTTCTCAAGTACCATTTTATGTGTATAGTATATTTAAATGTACCAATATATTTATAGCACTAGAACAATGTATATCTTTTTATTTATTTATTTATTTTGGGACGGAGTTTCACTCTTGTTGCCCAGGCTGGAGTGCAATGGGTGATCTTGGCTCTCTGCAACCTCCACTTCCCGGATTTAAGCGATTCTCCTGCCTCAGCCTCCCGAGTAGCTGCGATGACAGGCATGCACCACCACGCCTAGCTAATTTTATATTTTTAGTAGAGACAAAGTTTCTCCATGTTGGCCAGGCTAGTCTCAAACTCCCGACCTCAGGTGATCCGCCCACCTTGGCCTCCCAAAGTGCTGGGATTACAGGCGTGAGCCACCACACCCAGCAAAAAATGTGTATCTTTCAATGCATTGAGTTACTAGACAGAAGTATTGAAAAGGCTCTTACAGGTAATGAAAAAACTGTGTCTGCAATTTGTTCCCTAATATGTCAAAAACCAAAAGTAGGCTCTTGAGAGAAAGTACTGTCTACTCAATACAGCTGATATTTAAAGAACTTAAATACTGAACTTCAGTATTGTTTCTGTCATGAGACATTGTGTTTCCTGGGACCACTGTATTTCCAGGCAACATCATAACATTTTAAAGAAGCATCGGCAGTTGGCATATGGGTATGAAAGCACTTTGCCACTGGAATTCTCATAAATGGTATTTAAAAGTGTCCATTCAGGCCGGGCGCGGTGGCTCAAGCCTGTAATCCCAGCACTTTGGGAGGCCGAGGCAGGTGGATCACGAGGTCAAGAGATCGAGACCATCCTGGTCAACATGGTGAAACCCCGTCTCTACTAAAACTACAAAAAATTAGCTGGGCATGGTGGCGCGTGCCTGTAGTCCCAGCTACTCAGGAGGCTGAGGCAGGAGAATTGCCTGAACCCAGGAGGCGGAGGTTGCGGTGAGCCCAGATCGCGCCATTGCACTCCAGCCTGGGCAACAAGAGTGAAACTCCGTCTCAAAAAAAAAAATAAAGTGTCCATTCATGACTATACGGCATTTAAAATCCTAAACAAATAAAATCTACATGCTTATCTCACTGCAACCTCAACTGCAACGGCCAATTTACACAAATAAAAATATAATCCAACTTGCTAAATAGGAGCCAAGCATACTATCTCGTGAGGCATCAGTTATAAATTTTAGACACTCTATTTTATTAGCTTGTAGTTTTGTTTTTCTTTTTTATTTTTTTTAAAGAGACAGAGTCTTGCTTTGCTGCCCAGGCTACAGTGTAGTGGCTATTTACAGACACAATGATAGCACACTACAGCCTCTAACACCTGATCTCCAGCAATCCTCCCGCCTCAGCCTCCCAAGTAGCTGGTACTACAAGTGCTCAACACCTCACCTGGTTCTGTTTTTTGTTTTCACACTTCGTATTTGCTTTCTAATATTCTATTCAAAACTTTGGTCACCAGCACAACTCCTTTTTTAGAAACACATTTAGGTAACAACGTCAAAAGCCTTATGGATATACAATTAAGGAAACACAGCATTACAATAACTATACACAGGCAAGGACAGTTTCACCCACTGTTTACTGAGTAGGGGTGAATAGGGATGGTCTCTCTCCATTAGCACGATGCCTGGCTCCTGCTAGCATTTGATAAATTTGAACCATTATTACTTGTTGAAAGTGCAACTCTTCAGCTGGAGCAAAATACAGATAAAACAACTTACTGGACATTTCATCTAAGATGAGTGGAT